AGTGCTCGTTGAATTCTACGTTATGTCAACTATGGTCTCTATGTTTCGAGTTTTACGTTCGGTAACGCTGTCAGGTATCGCATCAGACGGCTGGCTCCTAGCACCTAGGCCACCACGCGCCCCTAAGATTAACAGACAACCACGTTACCCATTAAGCTATCACGGGGACCCAATAAAAAGAAGGTAATGTTAAAGTTGAAACGATTTGTGATCGGCTATTTAACGAGAGGTGGGAAACAGAATAGACAACAACGGATTCTGATTTCGCGCTAAGAAGTACATAGGCACAAAGAACTTAAGCTGACTTTTCTGAATTCGTATCTTTTCGTTAAGTGATGTCTCCGTCTAATGCCTTACAATAAGACATAGTAGTCCATTTTTCATAAACAACAGAAAAAAGTAAGTTCATTACTGTCTCCACAGATCGCTGCGGTGCTCACGATTGTACCCGTGTTTCCGAAGCGATTGGCTTTTAGTTTTTAGCCTAACCCGTATTATAATTATTGTCATAATTAGTAATTACAGTAGTAGCGTAAGTTATGATTTAACCAGCAAATTACTTTCGCTAATAACTTAAACCATCATACGAAGATCTATCCAAGCAAATCCTTTTCGCCTCGTGGCCTTTATTTGAACCCCAGTAAACAGCTACACCCGTAAATTTACCTTTATTTGGACCCTTCTTGTATTTATACCCTCTATTACGTTATCGTTCGCCATTTCCTACGTGAAACTTTGCGGGAATGCACCATTAGTCGAAAGGAACTCTGGAACGTTCGTACTTAGGGAGGTGCAGAAGCCCAAGATGCGCTTGTGTCGTTCGCCACTGCGTCATGTGGGATGTTAGATGAACCTTTTAACAAATTAATCCAGGCTAGCCGAAGCGAATAACGTCCTGCGACCTGTCGAATGTGAGAAGTGAAAGTAAGTTCCTATTGATGACAACTACCAGTCGACAATTTTGGCGACGGTTCTGGAGTAATAACAGAACACATCCGTGAAGGCAAACGAACCATGAATCAAGTGAGTATTTCACAGAAGAGAAACACGTTGCCAGCTGGTTTGAGGATCTTCTCCTAGACAGCATACCAAGCGTAAGATAAAGTAGAGGCTAAAAGTGACCGTCCTTCATATAAACAGATTAAGGTATTTGCCCTACTTGAATTAAATCTATAACAAAAAGCATCGCATCAATGTCCGAATGGCAAACCTTAATATATG